GAAATTAGTACAGTAAGCTGTATGAGGGATGGAACTGAAATTAGTACAGTAAGCTGAATGTGCGATGAAACTGAAATTAGTACAGTAATTTGTATGAGCGATAAAACTGAAAGCAGCCACGGGAGAAAAATTGTGTCCCGAAATTTGAATTTTCAAATACACGGAGACAATACGTCTTTCTTATACAAAAAGGCATGTTGCATTCCTCCATTGAATCTAAACCGTATTATTTGAGCGCAGTGTGATGAATGATTGATCCACTCAAACGTCAGTGTAAAATTGAGATCATCTGAATAATGCGCACCATATAATACACTTAAGTAATTAACTAAAACATTCTTTGAAATATTGATGAATGTGTGCATGTTTTGTTTCTAGATTGATTAATTATAATGTAATAACATTAAAAAACATTCAGCTTTTGACTGATATTTATCCGCAAAAGATTTTAATCGCTTTACCGTTTTGATAAATATTCCGTTTCAGAACCATTCCCTAAGAGTGTACACATTTTGTAACGAGATATTTTGTTCCATTCAACTGATCATTCCAGCGAACAACTTCCACGCACCGATTGGCTGGTTCGATACATTCATGATACAATGTAGGTCCGCTTAATGTTGAATTAAGAGTAAGTTTAAAACATTGGCGAGGAGTGAGAGTCGGAGCCGGAAGGAAAGAGGGGATGAGTTTGGAGGGGTGAGTAGGAAGGAGGAGTAGGAGGGGGAGGAGATTATCATCAAATGATCAAATAAATCGTGTTGTGTTGTGTTGTGTACTTGTTGTGTATTCTTACAGCATTTTTCACGTTTCATGTACACTGACATTTTGTTTTCTTTTTTTCTTCTTTTTATCTTTTTTTTTTATGTTTATCCTAACCATTTATCCGAATACACAGCAATGCACTTCAAAATGGCAGACTATTGCTGAACGGGTATTGACACTCGACAATTAGATCTTCCCAATGAAAAAGATTTAGGTCTTTGCTAGGTAACCACTGTGTGTTTAAACCATAGCAAAGAATTCTATCTCCGACTGCAATGATCGTGGCGGCTGGTAAAGGGTGACATACCGAGGACCATTTCCATGCAGTGTTTTGTATGTTTACATCAACATTTTGTGACTTTGTCATGTGATGTAGTGGATCACAGGATACTTCATTGTCGTCGTTCACTCAAATAGGGCTTTTGGACCCGCTGGAGATGACCCTCTAAACTCCGGGGTATCTCAGATAGGAACTGTAGATTTGCTACCGGGCGGTAGTTTATTACATCACATATAATAACATCAACATTGGTGTAGCATTCACTAGCTAGAAACACAATGGACCATTTGACCCAGTCATTGAATTGTTCATGGTTGAAGTAATCAAAGACATTGCTTTTCAGAATATATGTATAATGTAGGAGCGTGTCCGGCTCACAAGACTTCCATTATTAGTTTGTGCTTGTGTTTCGCAGTCTGTAAAGGGTTATTACATTATGTAGTGCGAGCTGAATCAGGGCTTGACCATAACTTAATACAACCTAAAACCCATTAGAAATGTCACCATAAACACAGTGTTTCGGTAGTACCATTTTTGTTAGATGGATGAAGCCTATATATGATACTCAATCTGAATTATATTCCACAAGCATTGACAGAACAAGTCATGTGCTCAAAGTGTGTATAGACATCACCTTGGTGGGAAATCAGATGTCTAGCAGCCTTCCATAAACAGGACAGGCACTTTTCGACAATCCCCTGCCATGTCTTGTGGAGGATGTCTTAGCTTGTTTGCAGTAGTTCAGCTAGTATATAGTCATCGAAATGTGAACTTCACCAGATCTCTGTTATAGCCAGAATAGCAATGTCATCCGATGCTTTTAAAACTCCGAGATACGACAATGACTTGTTCTTCACCGAACTACAAAGTGTACTATTCAATAACACTGTATGCAATGGAACAACTGACTTTGAATGACTGGCCGCCATTGGCTTCATGACATGCAAATTCGCGAACGATACTGATTGTGTCCTCATCAGCGTGCATCACGAAATTGCACTAGTGGTTCTGATACCGGACGCATCTGACAATGCACGGCTGTGTATGAGTAGGACGGGCTATTTGTGGTGATCAGCTGGACGAGATTGTCAGTATTCATCCCTTAGTGGTTGACGGCCTGATACTATTCTTGCCCGACTTTTCCCAACGCATTGTGCGACATTTTGGCCAAGTCCGGCCTCTGAATAACTTTCGGATACCCACGACTGATATAAGTATGAAACTCTGGTGAAAATAACGGACACAGAGATCGACCATATTTTTCATACCGTGGTATTGAAGTGGAATTATTATAGAGTCTTCAAATTATTGATTAACATATAATTTGATGACGTCGTATCTAATGTGAAAAATGTATTGTGGACAATTATCACATTTGCTATCTAAGATCGTTATACATGTTTATCTATTTTGATAGAGTCAGAAATGCTGATGATACGAATAAAACTCAACTATTTTCTTTCAAATGTATTTACAAAGGTGATGTTTCAGTACGTGTATATAGAGGTTTTAAAACAAGTCAACTTCATATGGTTTTTATATGAAGCGAAAATAAGCGAGTTTTATAAAAATCTGCTATAATGGGAAATACATTGTAGTTTAAAGTTTAAATCATCTACTGAGCCAAACCATGCAAAAATAAACATTGTGTGATTACTTGTACTATGATACAATTTACATTTATGGACTTTTTGTGAAGGTGGCTAGAATCCGATATGAACCTGAAAAGGATATAATGACTGCGGCATTATTGCAGTTTGTGACCGAAAAGGAATTTCAACAAATCTTGATGTCACAATGCAATGTCACTCCAAGCATTAAATTCAAACATTGTGACGTCATTTTTCAATCCACGCTAAGGTTTTATACCACACATTTAAAAGGAAACACGTGTATCACTCGTTCTGCTGTTTATAACCCAAACAAAGTGGCAAACACATACATGTGTAATTGACCATAGACAAGGTTGGTACAGTGTATATTTATTTGAATACCTCGGTAATCTATAAAACAAGTGTACTTCCCATTTCCTGTTTAAACTAATATCCAAGCTGAATTTTGACAAACTTCTACAATTGATGCAAGATACAAAACACAACGTTAGGTTATGTACTCGGAAAGGATCGGCTGGCCCTGTGATTGTTGACCATAAACAGCTACCTATTTATTTGTGTTCATGATATAGAAGTGAACAAAACGACACATTTTGTCTTAACAATCTGGTTCAGACATAGGCTTAACACTTCCTTACAGTGTCTGGGATGATGTTAATGGTTGTCATGACACCCTAGTCTGCCAATCGGAGCCGGGCCAGGATTGTATCCTTGGTTTACGGTGACTTTTACGACAACGTACTACCGTGACACCACAAATCATTTGTGAACTGTACGGTTTAACTCAGAAATAAAGCTCGAATCTTATCAGCAAAGGAATAAGAGTACATGGAGGATTTGAACCCGATATAAGCTCCTAAATCCAAGCAGGCAAATTCTTGAATGTAACGGCAGTACAAAACACTTCATAACAGGGATTTGTTCTTGCGTTATGGTACATATATTGTAAATTGAAGAAAACCCTTTTCTTCTATGTCAAAAATGGACTAATAATTTATTTATGGAGTTTGAAAGTTCTGCTAATGTGGCTTAAAGATCAAGATTCTCGACTATTTTCAGAAGGCGAATTCTGGACGGTCGAAGCACGCATAAACGATGCGGCACGCCTTACATAAATCACATTCCTTACAGAGATAAAGTAATCACTCACCCAGAAAAAAGTGACGTTCCATATATTTATCACACTCGTAACAGAAACCACCCCAAGTACATAATTCTCTCTACGTACAGAAATAACTTTTCATTAGCATTGTATATAGATGTACTGTGTATGTCATTGGGAGTATACATGATTTTCTCAATTTACCTAAATATTCATGATTAACTAGAACAACATGAGACGTGCAGCATTTTGGTGGCTGTGACTCTTAAAATACATGTTTTTTTTCTCCAAAAGAAGTGTAAAGATTTTTTCTATTTGAACATATGTTGAAGAATCTGTTAGTAAGGAGCGTAATTTGAATAACTCTTCCTTAAAATTTGTTACAGTTTAGTACAGTAGAATGCAATACATCATACAGAGTGAAGAGGTATCTTCAGGCCACTTTACTTTTAGTAACCATGTACCTTGTACCGTGTACATGTATATTAAGATACAATGTAACTCGTGTGTGTGATGCAGAGCTGGTTTTGGTTGTGATTGAGCCCCCAGGCTTGAAATACAGCATTTTATAGGGACAAAAGGCTTCATTTGACGTCATCATAAAAGTAAATTATGAGACCACGCCAGAGATAATCTGTCAGGAGATTGGATCTGACGGCTTAATGCTTGAATATAAGTATATATTAAAGGCGGGCAAAACATAATTGTCGGGAAACATGTACATCATGCAGGCAAAAAGTTGTGTGAAATAATCAATTCAATTTTTTATTGGAGTGAAGCTTGCATAAGAAAAACAGCATTGATGACGCTATCGGTCCTAAAGAAAGTAAGCAGAAACTAATTGAAGGGTAGTGTCGAGAGAAAATGAATATCAATATGGATTAATTTGCATAATTTGTTTTTCAGACTTGCGAAAGGTACAGATGAAGCAACCTCAGGCGCCTGTAGGATGTAAACGGTTCCATTTGCGATCCCGTGTTCCAGTACAACTACTGAGTTTTCTAAGCCTCCATATCTCCCTAAATAACCAACTGATAAGTCCTTCATGTTTTAAGTGCTCCTTAATCAAATGTTTGCGTTCTTTATATATCAAAAAATGAATATTTCAAAATCTTCATTTCAAACAAGTTGTATCTCTTCAACAGTTTGTGGCAGTTATGATGTACAACATATACTTAGTGTCTGGGCAGTATGGATACCAGATACATGTACAAAAACAACGACGCACAAAGATTGCGTATAACTTCAAAAAACTGTATTAAGAATAAAATAAATAAAATAAAATCAACTCTCGAAATATTTGATGTGGTCCTATATTGGCAATTCCGATATTGCTCTTTCACCTGATTTGTTGTACGACTGGTCACATGGTGCGTCGCGGCTACACATTTTGCTGACGTAGTCCCTTTTCTCTTTTCTTATTGGCTTGTCTCTGCGCGTGCAACATGACCAGATCAAGCATAACTTCCTCGTACCAGCGGTTCAATCGAAGGAACACACGTGCCATCCTGTGCTTAAATCTGATCAATATGCAGGGCTGTTTGTTCAAGTTCACCTATTCACCGTTAACCAATATGATGGAGGGTCTGTACTGTTGTCTCGAATAACCAGCGGAGGGGCTGCTTGTTGGTTTCTTGGACGAAACTCCAATGTACGTTACCAAACTCTTCAAAGTGGCTGTCTCGACATTTTCCTCCTGTGTAATTTTATCAACAACACTGATCACGACATCTTCGTTATATATTGTATCGGAGGACACACACTGGTCTAGCGCCATGTCGGGTTCAACCCAGGTATCTTTTGGTTTTAGGTCAGTTGTAAAAGGAGTTATACATGTAGTGCCTGTCAAAGATAAATGTTTTAAAAACAATTGAGAGACATTCGGCAAGCTTTATGATTTTTTTTATTTAAGTGTATATACAGTGTACATGTATATTCATGTATATAATGAGACGCAGTTAACTTGAGGTAATTTTATGTATTGTCAATAGTAATAAATATGTATTTATATGCATCAGACCGTGTTAATGCAATGTATTTTACAGTATGACAAGGCTCTGGAACAATACAAATAATAAACGTCTTAAGGGAGTATTTCAGATATACCACAATACCTTATTATTGGACTTACCATTGGTTTGGTCCCCCTGTTCGTCGTGACTTGTGTTCCGACGATTAAAGACATCTCCGTATGATTGTTCCGTCTGAAATAAAATTTATTTTGGTTATGCTTTCTTGTGTAACATGAAAAAGAATAGTGTGCTTCAACTGGGGATTGAACCCTCGACCTCTAGGTTCCTAGTCGGACGCTCTACCACTGAGCTAAAGGGAAATACCCTCTAGCGCGACCGTGATCCTATGTACAATTAAAATCTGCAACACTTGTATTTCCCTGTTTTCATTTTTAAGAAAACTATTAGATCGTACATTCTATTATCAAAGGTGATCTTGTATTGTTTCGACATAACATCACGTGAAGCTTACCTGATTCGTTAATATCCTAGCGACAATAGGCTTCGTCTTATTTACCGAGTCTGCTGTGATACCGGCTTCCCGTGTGACGTTAGTGTTACATGTAATGTGATCTAAACAACTGTCCGATTTAGACATTATTCAGTGAAATGTTTGTTATAGATTATATGTCTACATCTGTTTGTGTTTTTCCCGCCTACAACAACACACAACAAGCATACGTCACGTGATTAGCAACGTCACATGGTTAGCAGCGTCACGTGATATGAACAACATGATTGTTCATGAAGAGCCTAGATCAAAACCTAAAATGCATGTAATTGTTTTACGAATGTACCAATTCAAGATTGATGCAGGTTAAAATTGAATAGTGTATTTATTTAAGGAATGGAATTTATTTTTTTAACATTCATGAGGTCATAACAACATTGGATTTCTGTACATATTCCATGAATCGTGGGAAAATGTAAAACTTTCGTTGGGGTTCCTAGCAACAGCATGACAACATAACAAACAGAATATAGTTCCATTTTCAAAATTTAATTTGTAGAATTTACACAAGTCGGATATGAGTATCTTCACGGTGGACGTGTACCAATTACGTCCTGTGCTACCTCATTAAAGTGTATCGTTATGCACAAATGAATGTCATATTCGCCAATGGGTACAAGCATAAAGAATGTAAATATATTGAAAATATAATCGGAAATGCCATATTGGAGAAGAAGAGACAGCATAGGTCAAAACCGAGGTACACAGTTATCTTATACGTGTAAAAGTAGCGGTTAGTCGGTACATGTGTGTCTACAAATAAACATGTACTTTAAAAACAGTAAAGGTCAGCGACATGCGTGAATACCATTCAGAAATCTAAAAAAAATGCGTGCTTTATCATAGATAATTGTTCTGTGATAAGTCTGCCGTTCCATCAAATTTCCACACAGATGTACCGACAATTTCCGTAGTAGTGTGCTTGGTAGTCGATACGTGCTTTTCATATTGGAAATAATTGGACAAGTTTTCCTTTATAACCCAGCAGCAACGTTAAACATATCGGGTGTCACCCCAGTGGAACTTTCCTCTCAGTTTCAAGTAGAAAAAATGTCAAATATGGCCAAAACAAAGATACTTGTAAGTTTTTAGGTAGTTTTCCAAATGGCTGAACGTATTCACTAAGTGAGCTTTAACGTGCAGACGACACGTGGCGGCTCTTAATAACGCAGTATGATGTTTAAATATATATACCATCAAACATTTGTTTTCCCCAAAGGGACATTTGGGCAGCTTTATTCTCATATAGACTACGTTAATATTTACCAAACAAACGGCTTGTCGTTTCTGAATCCCATCTGTTGGAGAATCACGCTTTATCCACAGAGTCGACGGTATGTCTTTCTACCGATCATGATTTAGAAAAAGAAAGACCGAAAAACCTAAATGGCTGGCCCTTTAAGGTAGATCAATAGTATACATGATACAGTGTTTAAAATGGCGAGTAACTCCGCTTTTGGATTCCAATTAAATTCCTGATTAGATTGCGCCCTGGAACGTAGAAATGGGGAGGGGAAGTCTTGGTGTTAACGTGTAGTACACCATCTAAGATATCCCTGACAACCGTATAGGGCGTGAAACGTTTGATAGTTCAAGTACGTACATCATATACATCAAAGCATTGTGTAGGTACGAACATAAGACCATCTCTATAACTAGTGACCTGTTGTAGGCGGAGTGGCTGTACAGGACCTGACGAGGAATCGAAGGCCAATATATCTCGGGAACCTACCGTCAAATTTTACCGCGCCTGCTTGTACACAGTGTCGGAGGATACCCATTTATAAAGTAACCGTCAAAGATTACCCCCATCGTATAAATAAGCTGGAAAGTCAATAAACACGTCGTATACAACATTGATTTTGCTATGTTTAATCCACAGAGAGTTGGTCCAAGTAATAAAACTCCATTAAATGGCGATTTTAGTCGTTTATTTATAGACAACCTGGAAAATCAGTGATCTTTTATTAACATGTTCTAGAGGGATATGGGAATTAAACCGATTAACACTGCTCCATGTATAACATTAATGTAGCCCAATTTCTGTGACGAAAAAAAGTGGTACTTAAACATGTTTTCGTAAAATTACTATTCTATATAGGTTAATGAGGACAGCGTAGCTGGCAAGGAAGATTGTTTAACGTGCTGAAGTGTCGATAATAGTCTAGCTCGGATTTAACCCTGATATATATGCATTGTCCTCTCGTTAAAGTCACTTATTTAATATTAGTGTTAGATCACGCGAACAGTTTTTAGAAGGTATGATTTTCGTGCTTGATGTCGTCAGTGGCACCTACTCAAAACATGTCAAACCCCACGTTAGTGGTGATTTCAATGGTTACGGACATTTGTATTTTTATTTGTGATAAGTGAATTCCATTTATTTCACCTGACTGGTTGATCTTGTTAAGGCCTAATACCCATAGCCATCCAATTAGACGGTGTATCTAAAATTAATGTAGTTTAAAGTTTTGTAACACGATTCTGATTTCATTAATTTTATAAATAAATCACATCTTGTAAATATAGGGCACTCAGATTACTTTATAATGACTTCTCAAGCAACTACCCCCATCGTATAAATAAGCTGGAAAGTCAATAAACACGTCGTATACAACATTGAATTTGCTATGTTTAATCCACAGAGAGTTGGTCCAAGTAATAAAACTCCATTAAATGTCGATTTTAGTCGTTTATTTATAGACAATCTGGAAAATCAGTGATCTTTTATTAACATGTTCTAGAGGGATATGGGAATTAAATTCAATTTATTGATATATGGTATCCATATGGACTTTGAGTGTTGTGAAACACTATACCTATTATCAAAGTAATATATGAACAATATGTGTGTGATATTAGTAGTTGATGTCTTAATGTATTGCATTTTATATACCATGTATATGTATGTGTATATGTATATATCGGTCAAAAGCTCTTCAGAGCTTATGTTATTTTGTTATATACCCACCGACTCTAAATAACATTTATCGTAAATTTATGTTTCTCGTAGATGCTTTTTTTACAGAAAATGCAGCAGTGCAAAAGAGCAAAGTGCACGTTTTGTTAAGTTCAAATACTCTCCAGATACAACTCACGAACATTAAAAACCCGTTACAGACAGAGGCCCAGCTTTGTGTATACGATGCTAGTCTAGGCTATTGGATGTTAGTGTGTTACACTTTAAGCCACGGTCACATCTTACGGTCACGCACGTAGTTTATCGTAGTGGGGGATGACCGTAGTTGACTATAGTAGACCGTAGGTGACCTTAATAATATATAAATATCACATTCATGAGAGGGCGATATTGCATATTTTCACCCCAAGGAAGCATTGTTGACCGAGGCGAAGGTCAACAATGCTTCCTTGGGGTGAAAATATGCTATATCGCCCTCTCATGGCACGGCACTGTGTTGTATCTTTAAGCAAGATACTTTATTCTATCATATTAGACCGATATATCCGCATTTCCGGCGGTGCTGGAAAATTCTATTCGGCCCACGGGTCTGGATCGCTTTCACGCGCAGACTGGCGGGGGATTATAGTGACTTTTCGGGGTCATGCTATTGTTCATGACGTCATTTGATGACGTTTTGTTGTCAGTCAGGGTCATTGACGTCATTAATAATTGCCATCCGGGCTTCATATGCAAATTGGAAAAAAGCGGACAGTTAACAACTTTACTAGAAGAGCCGCTGTTTTTACGGGTTATAGGTAATTAGCAAGAAATATAATCAATCAATTCAAACCCTCGTGATAAAAATATTGATCATAAGACCCTCGGCAAATCCGCGGGTCTCCCGCTCAATATTTCATCCCTCGGGTTTGAATAACATTTTCTTGCATACTAGACCGAGATATCCGTATTTCCGGCGGTGCTGGAAAATTCTATCCGCACAGGCTGGCGGGGGGATTATAGTGACCTTTCGGTATCACGCTATTGGTAGTGACGTCATTTTATGACGTTTTGGGGTCAGTCAGGGTCATTGACGTCACTAACAATTGCCATCTGGGCTTCATATGCAAATGAGAAATGTGCGGACAGTTTACAACTTTACAAGAAGAGCAGCTGTTTTTACGGGTTTTAGGTAATAAGCAAGAAATAGAATCCATCCCTGATGTGAGGTAAGGATAAGATTATTCAAACCCTCGCGATAAAATATTAAGCAAATTACCCTCGGCAAAGCCTCGGGTCTCCTCCTCAATATTTTATCCCTTGGGTTTGAATAACCTTATCCATACCTCACATCAGGGATGGATCCTATTAAGCAATACCTCACATCAGGGATGGATTCTATTACTCCATACCTCACATCAGGGATGGAATCTATTATTCCATACCTCACATCAGGGATGGATTCTATTACTCCATACCTCACATCTGGGATGGATTCTATTATTCCGCTTGTTCCAGTCTACTCAGCAGTAAATGAATACGTGGTTGGGCAGTGCTAGACTTGTATAATGCTAGCTGTGAGCGCTGAGTTGGCACCACTGGCTGTATGCTTCCCATCCTCGATATCCACGGGTTACGCTCACTTTCGTGCAGAGAGCGAAAGTGAGTGAAACCCCTGTATATCGAGGATGGTTGATCCCCAGAGAGTTGAGAAAGATATTGACTTGTTGCAAAGGCCTTTTAACCCCAGAGAACAATTTTATAACCGCTTTGAGTCGACCT